GCCAGGAGCTACTAGTAGCTTCTTGCTCCTAGTAGTAAGGCCAGGAGCTACTAGTAGCTTCTTGTTACTAAATAAAGAAAATTGGCGCACCTCGATGTTCTCTCGCTCTTGCTGTATCCTGCACACATCGATGGCGCACGGCATGTTGTCCAATATTTTCAAGCGGCTCTCTGGCATTTGCGTCAAAATCAAATAGGATACCTTGCATTCTTGACGGTCAGTCTGGATTGGATCATTTCTCCACTGCACACGGCAGTCAGATTTGGAGCGAGTTTATGACCCGGCTGTCAGTCTCTTCTGCATCCCAAGAAAACCTGAGACAAGGTTCCGAGTCATGGCACATTGAAATTCCACGTCAAGAATGATCTTATGCCCACCTCATGACTCGCAATACTTTAAATTGCAAGGTAAAGACATGCCAAAACAAGTTATATATGTTCTATGGCCTGTGCCTGTTTCCGTGCAGAGAAGGAAAAAACAGTATCTTTCATGCATAAACACAATCATCTTGAGCCATGACTCTGCTGGACATATCACTCCACAAATCGCATGGCGAAACATTTTCAGATCAGATGTGGAGGGGCTTCCATGGGCTTCCTTGCCTTGCTCAGGGCCAACGGAACGTTAGCTGTCCTTGTTCAACTCTGTGGCTCGTGTTCTCCTTGTCCTTGTTCGTCCACAGCATGGTCTGCTCCAAATTTTATTGTTGTGCTGCAATTACATGCTCGAACATGTTCGATGTTCCCATCAAATTCATGTTGACACCTGTTCATCCACATCAAGCCCATGCCGACGCTTAATTCGCCCACATGACTCGCAGGTACCTCCCTCACCCCTCAGCTTCAAAACAAAAAAGAAGCACTCCAACAAATGAAACTCCAACAAACAACAAACAGACAAGTCAAACCAGCGCATAGACGACCCTAAACAGATTCAGCAGGGTGTTATTGCGTCAATTCGTTGAACTCCATTGATGGTGGAAACTTTTGTAATTATGTGCCTGTGGCCTCCAGCTGTTTGGGAGCAGCATGCCAAAAAAAATGGGTTTTGTAAAACAGGATGATATCAAGTTTGACATGTTGCATCACTGTCACATTCATAGCACACCTGGACAAGGCAGTAGAAAGCCAACAACGCGGACAAGCAGGACACACAGACCCGGACAAGGAACGGACAAGGCGGTGATGAAAGGGCGGACGGCGCGGCCACGGCTATCGTGGCCAGCCCTTTCTCCCTACTCGAGAACCCCAAACAGTGAACTGTCAGTGCACTGTTTGAAAACAAGAAGCTACTAGTAGCTCCTGGCCTTACTACTAGGAGCAAGACGCTATTGGGGGCTCCTGGCATCGCTACTAGGAGCAAGAAGCTACTAGTACTGCAATCGTTGTCCTTAAACAGTCAGTGACCGTTCCTTAGGTCTGTCGGATCGACGCCATCGCAAGTTCACTGTATGATAATTCTTCTGTGTTTGTTGAGCTTGTTCTCAGTACAAGTGAGACTTCATGAACTTCATGAACCAGGTGTCCGGTGATGTCCAAGAAACCCTCTCCTCTTCTTCGTGTATCTCTGCCATCTTGCAATCTCATGCAATGTCCCCTTTCATCTGGCACGATGTTTTTATTACTTTCTTGTCTGCAGGAATCTATGCAGGTTCAAGATGAGAGGCTATGGCGGCTATGGTCGATTTGTGCACTTGCTGCGAATTGCTGAATAGGAGTGGCGCAAATGCAAAGTTAGACTTTGAACCTGAAAACGATATATCAAATCCACAGTACACATGAAGGTACATGAAGATCATGAAGAACCTTTAGATACTTGGTAAATGACAAGCCCACTGACTTGCCATTGGAACATACAGCAAAGCTTGCATTCCGATGTTGGATCTCAGAATGATGCTCAAATCCAATAAAGTCTCGGGTGCAGACTCGCGAGATATTGAAACACTGGTCTCTGCATTGAAAGTCATATGACCCCAATCCGTCGGTACCTCAAGGCACAGGGGCAAACTCAGCACGTGTTAGAAATGCTGAAGAATCCAAGGGTCGGACATAGAAAATATCGCCCGGAACCTGCTCTGTGTGTGTGTATTCTTACATCGTGTGAAAGCACATCAGGATAGGCCACTGCCTGCTCGCAAGCCAAGGGAAAGCTGCTTTTCAGCTTCAATCCTTCCTGAAGACCTTCTACAGCCCTCAGTACAAAAGCAGAGCAGCTGCTTAGAAATGAAGCGTGCAAATGGAATACCAGCTTCACGGGTTTCGGAAGCTTCTACACTTTTTGACGTACCCCATCAAACTCTACATCAGCTCTGGGCGGAAGTTGCTTCCTTCTCCGCTTGTCCTCATTCATCGCCTTGATAGCCTGCCACAAATCCCCCGATGTGCAAAAGGCCCTTCCATCAAACATGCCAGGCTGCACATGTTGTCTTGACAATGAAGATTTTGGTGGAGGATAAAACCTTCAGCCAGTTCTTTCTTGAGACAAGCAGCTCACTGCTTGATGTATTTGCCTGAGGACCAAGCAGCCACTGCTTCTTTCCACTAAAGAGCGCAGCATATGCATGGGTGTGATAATGCCTGGCGCATGGTAGCGGGCCGATCACTGCATGGCTTGTTCCATCCAGCCGGCTACACTGTGGAGCTCCGGAGCCAGCAGGGCCAAGGCCAAATTGAATGTTCCCAAAGTGATACCGCTGCATCGTGGCGTCCTTTCGATCCTCGCATGCCATGGTGGTTTTTCCAGTGCCCATCGCTTTTCCGGTTGGTGGTTTTGGCAAGCAAGCGTCAGCCAAGAATAAAAGACAGTGAAGCCATGATTGATCAGCGGTTCAAACAGCTCCTGCAGCCAATGTGGATGAGGTGCCACATCTTTTTGGATCAGAGACAAAAGCTTCCGAAACCTGAGCTGCAGGAAAACATGAGCATCAGAGCTTCTGCGACTACTGAGCTGGAAGCACTTTGGGTCATCCTGCTCGACCACAGAGAAAACATACAACCTGGTGGCAATGGTGACTCCTACTAAGGCTAGTTTTGAGGCTTACTACATGCAAGAACGCATTTCGTTATTTTTGAATAGAGCAGAACAATTCTAGAAAGGGGCTGACTGAGGGAGGCACGGTGTCCCTGAAGTAGAGTTCACTTTGCCCATGACATTTTGCACATACCTGCTAGATTGTTGGGACACTTTATATACTAAGAGAATCCAAGAGACTGGTTTAGCAAGAGACGATCCTGAATCTGAGTGTTGCACTCTTTAAGTGACATCTGTCTCGCATCTTTTGCGTCCACGTCTCCAAAATCCTCTGGATATGGAATGGTGACCGCCTCATTGAGGAGTGGAAGAGAAAAGTGTAGAAAGGACTTTAGGCTTTGCAAAAAAATGAGTTGCCGGCTGACATCACAGTTTCGCCAGCCTTGCAGCAAGGGCCCTGTGCTTGCCCCATGTGCTTGCTTTGGAGTGTAAATTCACTCCTGGCCTTTCTCACCAAATACCGCAGATTGGCCCACCGTTCGTAAGCTGGCATGTATTTGCCACCTGCACCTCATTCAACCGCGGTCAACAGGCATGGCTCGAACATCACCTCTGATCACTCTGATCATCACCTCTGATCCAAGCATACGACGCACTCGCAATGGTCTTCGCAATGACAGAAAGTCGTTGAGGAAGCCATCGAATGTCAGATCCTGACATTTTGTTGGTTCTGCAAATGTGTTGGTTCATTTGGCAACTGGTGGTCCTTTTCGTCAATGGTGTCAATCTCACAGGTCAAGCTTTCCCGTGCCTAGTCAATGCATTCAACATTCTTTCATTGACTCTTTCACAGCGCATGACCATTCTATGATTGAGACAAATACCCAGTCGCCGCCCATGCTACCGGCTTGCCAGTGACCATGCCAACCTGGGAACCAACAACCAATACTGATACTGCAAATGGTCAAGTCATTCAAACACTAAGTTGGGAGTGTGCAACTTCCAGCCTTGTAGGTTCAGCTTGTGACATGTACATGCATCCCCTTGCATCTGGCTCCACAGGAAGGGCCCTTTCTTTAGCCCAGCTTTGATCCATGGCTGGCAACTAGGCCGACCGAGGCCTTTGGAAAAGAGCGCACAGGATCAACGGATCCTTCCATCTTGGTGTTTGGTCGAGCCCGATACCCCACTGTCGCTACCACCGCTACATTGGTAGCGGAGCGATTGCTCTCCAAGGGACTTCCTGCTGTTCAAGGACGACGCTGTCGACCTCGATTGCGGTGTCCTCAAGCAGCGGTGCACCTGATCTTCGCTGGTTGGAGGCCATCGATATCCTCGCTCTGGCCTACTTTGAAGCGATCTTCGGTGCACCACCTTTTGTACTTTTTCCTGGCCGACCTCTACGGCTACAACTCTTTTTGCTTTGGAGCTGAACTCCAGCTTCGCAGTTTTCCCCTTCCTGTGATGTCGGAGAAGGATGGCTTTGTTTCCATCCCCACTTGGGATGGCCAGGCGAAAGGCTGGCGGAGGTACACGAAAGAAGTTGCATGGTTCGTGTCCTCGACGCCAGTGGAGAAACGAAGATATGCGGCATCCAAGCTCATCAGCAGGCTTCAAGGTCCAGCTCGCCTTCTTGCAATGAGCTGGAATCGTGGTGAGTTCGACTCCCCAGATGGCACCCTCGACCTCCTGCGGAAGTTGAACTCTTCGCCACTTGTCCGAAGAACTCTACCCAACACGGCGGCGATCCTCCAGCAATACCTGAGCTTCCGTCGAAGACCACATGAAGGTATGGCCACCTTCCTTGTCAGGGAAACGCTTGGCTATGAGGAATTTGCTGAGTCGCTTCTTCGCCTATGGGAAGAGAAAAACGGTGTGAGCCAAAGTGAAGTCAACTTTGGACTTCCGCCCATCGAGGACTCCTCCTGGGATTGGTGGTATGAGAACTATGACGATGACGAACCCCATCCTGACGAACCTGGCGACCCTAGCGAACCTCCTCGTGATCCTGTGGCCAGTGCTGGTGAAGTCAAAACACCAACCAAAGATGCATCTGCATCTGATGGTGCTGCCCGTGCCAGCGCAGGCTCTTCTCCAAGCCATGGTGAACCTGCACGACGAGCTCCTTCCGTGATCTCTGCTGGCATCCAGGCTCCCTCAACGATGGGAGTCAATGAGCTGTCCGTGACCGACTCGTTCATCATGGGCGTCCTCCAAGGCTGGAGACTTCTGCAAGCAGCGTGTCTCAACCCAGAAGAGACAAGGGACATCTTGTCTGCCACGCAGAACAGCCTTGACTTTGAGGCCATCAGCAGGGCACTACAGACCCTATGGGATGAGCAACTCCTTGGTCACCGACCGTCCTCGTCATCTTCCAATCCCTCGTATGGACACCTGAACTGGCAGTCTTGGGAGGAAGATGAATGGCATGCTCCTGACCCTTGGGACAATGAAGACTCCTGGTGGGAGTCGCAGTGGCATGAAGAATGGCAAGATGATCACCTATGGCCTGATGAAGAACCCGCTTCATCCTTGGCCATTGCAGAAGAACCTGATGAACAAATCCTCGAGGCCCAGAAGGCCGAGCAAGCTGCTGAACAGCTGGCCTTGGAGGCCAAAAGGACCTGGGCCGAAGCACAACGCACGACCCAACAAATGAAGAAAGATCGTGGTTTTGGTCAGCACACTAGCAACAAATGTTTCAACTGTGGTGGAAATCATTTTGTTCGAGATTGCCCCGACCGCCGAGTTCCGATGTTTGGTAAGCATGGTAAGGGCAAGGGCAAGTAATTTGGTAACTACGTGGACTCTTACCCCCACGACATGTTTTTCATGAAGGGCAAGTCCAAAAAGGGTTCCGGCAAGAACAAATCCAAGTCCTCCTACATGATGGAACCTCATGACATGTTTTGGACCAGCTCACGATACAAGGGCAAAGGCAAGGGATTCGGCAAGAGCACTCCATCCGTGAACGCCTATGCCACCCAGCACTTTGACATCGGAGGCCTTGAACTTTGCACCTCAGCTGAAGCTGACCTTGGAGCGGCACAGCGCTCAGGGAATCCATCAGTGGCAAAAGCCTCCACTGGAATGCTTGATTGTGGCGCGACAGCCTCCGCCGCTCCAGAAGTGGCAGTGCAAGGTCTCATTCAGGCCATTCTCCAGGCCGACAAATCAGCACAAGTGACGATCGAGCCATACATGCGGCCGCACTTTCGGTTTGGGAACGGTCGCTGGGGCCAAGCATTGTATCGCGCCACCCTTGTTTCGAATGTGAGTGTGCAACCTCGGAAGTTTTCGTTGTTTTCATTGCCAAACCCCGAAGAGTTGTCTGTGAAGAACATCGTACCCATCCTCATAGGCATGGACCACTTGGGAAAGACAGGTTGCCAAATGATGGTGGATTTCATGTCGGGCTATGTGATTGACGGTGTCGACAAGGAACCCTCCATCTACAAGCTCAAGTCCAATGCTAAGGGCCACTTTGAGTACGACAGCACGTATCCATGTGGACAACCAGTCACATCACTTGTCAACGGCCACCTTGCAGTTTCGTCCTTTGGAACTTTACATGTCAGTTGCGGATCGTGCACCGACCGTCGATGATCGTCGCAGTCAAGAGTTGCTTTGGAAACTGTATCATCATGTTCATGGACAATCCAGCAGTTCGGCTCTCACGCAGTCCGTTGTGGACTCCAAGCCTCTTGACGACATCCCCTTTCGTGCTCACCTGCAACGGCATGGCGCAGAAGGGCGGCCCCATGAGTCACCCGTCGATGCAAGCCGAGCAGGATATGGTGAACTTCATCGATCAACTACGACCCAAAGCGCCCAAGAAGGAATCTCAGCCTCCAGACAAGACAAGGGCGATGACAATGGATCTTCGACATCCACGTGCTCAGAACACCTGGCCCTGCTACGACAACCATGTCGAGGGCACCTGGCAGAGCAATCCACATGGCCATTGGCTTCACTGCAGTGTGTGCAACATCCGCATGGCCTATGTTCCCAAGAAGGGATCTCCGAGCAACTCCACACAGGTGGTCAACCACCAGATGGTGCAGCGCACGCTCTCCGAGCTCGAGCCTCTGATGCATGGCGCGCGTCCTACCGCACGGATCTGCAAGGCCATGATGGACAAGATCACGGCAGATGTGCAGTTGGAGACTCTTGTGAAAGCTGCCATCAAGGAGAAGCCCAAGGCCACTGCGGCGAAGACCATGGTAAAACCCAAGACCGAAGGGTACACTTCGCCTCGGATGTCCACGAGCCAAGGCAGCTGGGAGATGCTGACTCCGGAACAGCACGACATCGAGACCCTCCTCACCGAGAAGGAGAAAGCCCAGCTCCGTGCAATCTTGCACGAGCGCAGGACGGGTCTCGAACTGGAGGGTCAGAATCCCAACCTACAGTCACCCAGCATGGAGTGAAGGTCCTTGGCAAGAGCACTACGACATCGACCTCATCGATAACAAGTGCTGCTGCTGGCGCTGAGGTGGACAAGAACATCGATTCTGAGTATGACCCGGGCGACATGTCTGTGAATGTCGACTCAACGCACTACACCTCATCCAGGACATCAAAGCAGTTTCTGAATCGATCGACGGCATCAAAACCGATCCCACAGCGCATCGCTGTGCAAGTGATGCAAATGGTTGCACTCATGACCTCCACCTTGATGAGTGTGGCACTTGATATGAACCTTGAGGGACGTCAAGGTCTGTGGGAGATCGACTGCTCTGACAACAGCTGGCTGACGGCATCAGCTCAGCAACATGGCATCTGTGGTCGTCGCATCAACTACATCCAGGGCTATGACATCTACAAGCAGGAGACTTGGGAACGCCTCAAGTCCGAACGACGTCGTGACCGACCTCGGAAACTTTGGTTTTCTCTGCCCTGTACGAAATGGTGCCAATGGAGTCATGTCAACTATAACACGCCGGAAAAGCGTGAGGTCCTTGAAAGCCATCGAAGGCGTGAGAGAAGGATGCTTCGATGGGCAGCAGACTTTATCCTTGACACCATGGACGACGACCCCAATGTTGACGTCTACTTCGAATGGACCTTTCCCTGCTCTGGATGGACACAACATCCTATGGTGTTCTTGGAACATGAGCTTCGCAAGCGCTCCATTCCCTGGGAGTCATGTCGCATTGATGGTTGCAACTATGGCGTGCGAGATCGCAACAACGACCTCTTCCTGCACAAGCGCTGGCTCATCAAGACCACTGACGAGCTCTTCCACAAGAACTTCAGAGCCAAGGTCTGTCCCAAGAACCATCAACATACCCTGATTGAAGGCATAGAAACATCAAGATGGGCATACTATCCTCGCCGAATGGTGGAAGCCATTGTCCGTCACTGGAAGCGAGAACTTGTTCCTCTACGGCATCTCAAATACCTCACCACTGGCTCCAGTGAAGCCGATCATGAAGATGAGAACTGGATGAGAAGGAAAAAACTCCTTCATGAACCTGATGCTCTTCCAGCAGAACTCGTTCCTGATGATGATGATCCTCCTGAGCAGCCAGAGGAAGCTAATCCTCTAGCAGAAGTTCCCAAGAAAGAGCAAGATCAATGGATGGCTCGGCTTCGACATTATCATCGTGCTGCTGGACATCCAAGCAATCGCAGCCTTCAACATCTGTTCAAAGATGCTGGACTCCCGGCATGGAAGATTCACATGGCCAAGAACTTTGTCTGTGAAACGTGTCAAAGCCTCAAACTTGGTGGCTACAGTTCTGGCAAGGTCCCTCCAGCTTCAACACACTCGCTCTACAAGGCCTGGCAGGCTGTGGGCGTTGACGCCTCTGAGTGGTTGGTGCCAAATCAAAAGGTGAAGCTACGCTTCTTGCTGTTCATTGACCTGGCCACAAAGCTCAAGTCGGTCTACGTGGTCAAGCAGTATGACTTCCTTCAGATGCAAGGTGAGACTGCAACTGAAGTCATCACTGGCTTTTCTGAACGATGGCCTGTGGACAAGCCAAAACCTGAGATCCTCGTGCCCGACAACTCCAAGACCTTCAAGAGTCGCGAGATGCACGACTTTTGCAGCAGCATTGGTATTCAATTGGCCTTCCCTGCTGAAAAAGGATCATGGGCACATGGCGTTGTCGAATCCGCCATCAAAGATCTCAAGATGACAGCCTCAGCCATTCAAATTGATCAACCACATCTCAATCCGCGTGTGAGTTTGATGCTTGCATGCGCAGCTCTCAATTCCACCGAGTACACCAAGGGCTACTCTGCCTTTCAATGGTGCTACGGCAAGGACTACACCCTGGCCGATGAGGACTTGAGAACCTTTCGAGAGCTTGAGAACTATGAGGACCACATGTCCTATGAGTCCTTGGTCCGAGCTCGACAAGATGCTGAAACTGTGGCTCGAAAGACAAGATCACTTCGAGTCATGAGCAAACTCAAAAACAACAATGTTCGCCAACCTCTTCGCACTTTTCACCCAACACAACTGGTGAAAGTGTGGCGACCTGAATGGCCGGCTTCCTTGTACCAAGGCCGGCGAGGTGGATCCAAGAAAGCTCGAAAGCCACAATGCGTTGGACCTGGAAGAGTTGTCTTTCATGAGGCGCTTGGTCATCAACAGCCCGAAGATCAACGACGTCACATCGTATGGGTCGTGATCGGATCCCAACTGATGAGATGCTCTGTACACTCGGTCAGACCAGTCACTCCGGCCGAGCAGATGACCTACGAGTTGAGCACCCGTGAAGATCCCACACAATGGAGATCCATCTCAGACCTTCTGCCGAAGAAAGACTTCATCGACATCGCCGATCAACCTCCTGGCGAAGACGATCGTGAAGCTCCAGATCTACCAGGTCAACCTGATCCTGAGACCATGCTGGCCCCCATCCGCAGAGCTCAACAGTTCCTCCTGAGGAGATGCTGACTCAACGTGAGCGGCGTGAGAGAAATGAATTGGAGACAGAACTCTTTGGTCCTGAACCTCCACCGATGGTCAATGACTATGAACCCACGTCACCTGAAGATGTTGAGGAGCCTCCTGAGAAGATTCCAAGGCGTGAAGAAGTCACCACCTTTTCATCATCCTCTGCAAGAGCCTCATCATCAGCAATCCCTGGACGTGAAGTTCCAACGGCTGATAACCTCATGTCGATCAACTACATGATTGAGGAGGAGGACAAACATTGGAAGATCCTTCAGGCAGCCATTGCCGATGACAACGAGGTCTTCACCATTGAGCTTGACCTCGACTTGGAATCCAATAGATCCAAGAAGGCTTTCATGAACAACCCGTCAGCATTTCTGGTCAAGAAGATGCGTGACAGCGAGGTCGTCTTTGGCAAACTCTCCAAAGAACATCAAGTACTCTTCAACAGAGCAAAAGCCAAGGAGGTATCCAGCTTCGTTCAGAACCAGGCTGTGAGGAAATGTTTGGATGATCAAGAGATCAAAGAAGCTCTTGGCTCTGGCCGTGTTCTACGTGCCCGATGGGTCCTTGTCTGGAAATTGGTGCCTCCTGAAGATCGTGCAGACGCCAAGAAGGACGCTGCTGAGAACTCCAAGACAGTCCACACCCGTGAAGGAGACCGAAAGGCCAAGGCTCGCATTGTTCTCCTCGGCTATGAGCACCCCGAGCTAGGCTCCACCGACTACAAGACCAGCAGTCCTGTGCAGTCAGTTCTTGCCCGCAACCTTCTATACCAAATGGTATGCCAACATGACTGGCTTCTTGAAGGTTTGGACCTCGCCACTGCCTTTCTGCAGACCAAGCCGACATCCGCAGATGCTAAACTGCATGTGGACCACCGGTGTTGCTGAACTCCGTGAAGCTCTCCAAGTGGGACCCGAAGGAGTCATGAAGATCATGAAGAACATTTACGGCAGCACCACGGCTCCAAGAGGTCTATGGCTTGACTTGCGTGAGACCTTGTGCAAGCTTGGCGGTCGACCCTGCATGGGAGAAAGGCGCCTATGGATTTGGACAAGCGCCACCCGCAAGGATGAGCATGGTGTCCCCTTGGTCATTGGCATGATGGGCGGACACGTCGATGACTTTCACCGCATCGGTAGTCCGCATGATGAGGAGTGGGCAGCCATCAAACGGTCCATCGACGAAGCCTACACCTGGGGCACTGCTAAGGTTGGCTCTTACCGCCACGCGGGCACTGACATTGAGGTCACCAGAGACCGCGATGGCGACCAGGTCATCACCGTGAACCAGCAGTACTACATAGACATGCTTTGCGATGTGAACATTCCTCAAGATCGCATGCGCGACGAAGAAGCAAAGCTTTCTGCTGCAGAACAAATGGCCTGTAGAGGAGCTCTCGGCTCACTTCAATGGGTGGCTGTCCAAACGCAACCACAACTATGTGGCCGCTGCAACATACTCCTCTCCGAGCTTGTGAAGTATGGCAAAATGTCCTATGCCATCGAGATCCAAAGGATGATTTGCGAAGTCCGCCAACATCCTGCGCAGCTGAAGTTTTTCAAGCTCAAGAAGGCCAAGACCTGGCGCGACATCTCCGTGATCACTTTCGCGGACCAAGCACGCGCAAACAGGCCTGGTGGTGATTCCACCGGAGGTCTAGTGACCACGATGGCTGGCCCTGAGGCCAAAAGCGGACAGGTCTGTCCGATGGTGCTCCTTCAATGGAAGGCGTGGAAGCTGAAGCGCAAGTCCATAGGATCAAACGACGCAGAAGTCCAGGCGGCTCTTGATGGCGAGGACCTGAACTTCCGCGTCAGGTTGTTGTGGACAGAACTCCACGGAGCGGGATGGAACCGCCCGACAGCGGTGGATCACGTCGCCTGGGCTGAGCGACAATCCCGCGAAGTGGCTGGCTTCGTGTGCACGGATTCTCGAGGAGGATTCGACGCAGTGCAGGTGAATGAATCACCAATGTTGGGGTTAAGCAACCTTCGCTCCGCCCTACAAGCACTACAATTGAGAGAGCAGATGATTCGAGCTGGTTGTTCTTTGAGGTGGTTGGCGAGCGACTACGACATCGCCGACGCGATGACAAAGAAACGACCCGAATGTCGTTGAGCCTCATGAAATTTCTCCACAAGTTCCACTGGTGCATAGCTTTCGACCCCACTTTCACTGCGGCCAAGAAGAATGCCAAGCGTGGCAAAACGGCAGTGAAGCATGTAAGCACCAAGGATGCACAAGCTGATTCTTTTTTGTGGGCTGATGCAACTTCCAGCCTTGTAGGTTCAGCTTGTGACATGTACATGCACCCCCTTGCATCCGGCTCCACAGGAAGGGCCCTTTCTTTAGCCCAGCTTTGATCCATGGCTGGCAACTAGGCCGACCGAGGCCTTTGGAAAAGAGCGCACAGGATCAACGGATCCTTCCATCTTGGTGTTTGGTCGAGCCCGATACCCCACTGTCGCTACCACCGCTACAGAGTGCTATGACTCACGGACTTGTGACTTGTGCAGACTTGCCTGCTGGTAACAGCTCTGCTAGGGCAAAATTGTCCTGGGTGTTCTCGTCTCAGTGTGCATGTGCACGTGTTTTTCGGTGTGCAAAGCTTATAGTAATTTGAACTTGCGTACACTCCTCCTTGGCAAGCGGGTTTCCATGCCTGGACAAAAACATCCGTGACATTGTTACGCTCATCTTTGCCAAAGTATGCTTAAGGCATTGGCCAAAAGCATTGCCCCTCAGGGCAGGCAAATGCATCCAGCTGCCTGACCTGTGTCATGAAACACCTTTCTTTCACTTCCCTTGTCAAGCAAATCCCATCCACCCATTCAGCTCATCCTGCCTCTGTCCATTGCAAGAGATGCGCCAGTTCTGGGGCAGTGCGACCTGCAACGTCCACAGGAACCGCAAAATACTTGCCGTCAGTTTGGATCTAAAGTCTAACAGCTCATTCAGCACGTCGGGCCTGCTACGTCCACAAGTTCACTATCTGCCCCGGCAGAAAGCAATGCTTCTACGACCTCGGATTGAAACACACATGAATCAAAGATCCTCTGCTCGGTCCTATATCATCCCATGGTTCTTTATAAGGTCAGGGCTCCGAGTGATCTGTGGATGACAGCTTGATGTAAAGGCGTCCTCTTCTACGCGTCTCCGGATCTAAAGCAATTATATAATTACTCTGATTCCGGGCCTTTGCATTGGTTTGCTCTTCCTGTTGGGATCAGCTCTTGCAGACAGGAGCTCCTGCGCAACATCGATTTCAATTCTAGCAAATCCCAACCCTCGACCGCCTCAATCGCCTCTACCCACATTTCAGTTCTCCTGCGCCAGCTCTGTCAGTCCATGCTCTGCACCTAAGGTCCGCAATGGTTGTTCAGGTCATTCCCACTCTTTGCACCCATGTAACTTGGGAATGCGACAGTGGTGAAGCGCAGTTTTGCCTCAGACCAGACTAGTAATGTAAAGCTGACGCAGCGGACCCTTGTTTTCTTCAAAGAGTCTATTGAATGAGGAGATCTACCTGGGAACGGAACCACTTTGCTTGCTTTGAGCAAAGCTGGGGTCCTTAGTTGTGCCAAGACTGTCAATAAATAGAAAACACACCAGCACTGCTCCAGGTAAGGAAGCGTCCGCCTTCGCACCAAGTAAATGGCGGACAACTTGCCGGGCCTGGCAACTGCCAAATGTCCTGTGAAGGAGGAATTTTGCTATTGAAAGGACCTTACCCATGACCATGCGGACTGTGTCTTCAAAGGACAGACTGTAAAAATTCCTCGGGCATCAATGTCAATCGCTTCTTTCGTTTCTGAGATATATACAGTACATACAAAAATTCAGCAAGCCGATGTGTCACCAGATTGGAGAACTTTTCAAACTGTAGAATTGAAATCGTAGGCCCTTGACGGATCAAGAAGCGCCGCTTCAGATACCTGCCACCACACAATTGAAGTCAAGTTTCCAGCGAAGCTGTCAAATTCTGCGAGCGTGGCAATGTCAAAGCCATAGTAGTCTCGGAAGAGTCGCCCTGCGGAGTGCTGAACGGCCCGCAAAGGTCAAATCTTTACCAAGCCTTGCCTGCCATGCGAGGCTGCTGCAGCAAAGCACGGTTGAGGCCTTGCTTGTTCTGCTTCGGAACGAAAATGCACCAAATGACCAGAGCTTCAACACCATACAGTACCCGTCCAAGTCCACAAAAGGATGTGTTTCATATCATAAAACAGGGCGGGCACTGGCAGACTGGCGGTACACAGTGTGTCCCGTACAGCGAGGCCATTCTTCGAAAATACCCGCAGGGGGCGGGGAGGCAAAGTAGCCAGGCCAGGCAAAGAAGTCGTGGTTGGCTTTTTGAGCAAGAGCGAAGTGAGTGGTTGAGAGCGGAAGAAGAATTCAGGGGCCCCTAGTAGCGTCCTTGCTCCTAGTAGTAAGGCCAGGAGCCCCTAGTAATTCTTGTTGGTTTCTGCATTCTTAAGTGCCACTGCATTGAACCTGCCTCTGCTTTCTTGGAGCTGCACAAACCCCCAGAGAGTGTGGCGCATGAAAGCAATCCTCTTTCGGACATGAAGGGGTTCAAAGCGTGGGTCAATCCCCGTGCTGGCTTTCGTGCCGTGTCTCAGCTGCTGGCGATGTTTCAGCTGGCTGATGCCCAGCAGTGCTGCAATCACAGCACCTCTTTGCTGTTTCTATAAATGAAAGTCAAAGTGCTGAAAAAGGAATGGGCAAGAAACACACACACACACCTCTTGCCTCTTGCCTCTTGCACGATCGCTAGCTAGCTCTCCCTCTCTGTCTTACTGGGAAGAGCACGACTAGCGGCCCTGCGGTTAGGCTTCAGGACTTTGTTGACCAAAACACCCACCTGAGCTTTCCAAAGTAGCCAAGTTTTCCTACCCTTTGACTTGAGGTGTTGGCCAGGGTTGTGTCCAAAAAGTATGCTGCGCGGCCAAGGTCCGACCCCTCCTCCAATAGGGTTCACACTGGAAAAAGAAAAAGCTGAGGAGGATGACATTGGATGACTTTTGCTTGCTTTGAATACCTACTGTATTAGGTTGGAGGCCATTGCTACTAGTTGGTTTACATTCGTGACACACACACACACACACAAAAGAAATGCAGGTACTACCTCCTGACCTCCTGAGACTTCTCTGTAGGTAGCGCCCCAGCGTGCACCAACAGTTCCAGCGCCCGTGCCATATCAGGGACCTGCACTCACAACGTCCACGCACTAAAAACTGAGTGCTTGCTCCTAGTAGTACGGCCAGGAGCCTCTACTAGCGTCCTTGCTCCTAGTAGCGATGCCAGGAGCCTCTAGTAGCGTCCTTGCTCCTAGTACCGATGCCAGGAGCCCCTAGTAGCGTTCTTGTTTCTATATTGATGCCGACTGTGCTACTTGAACATTTGCAACATGCCTCCGGCGCTGATGCAGAGGGTGTTCTGGCCGTGGAGATATACTTTTGCACGCTGTCAAGGTATTTGGGCATCTTGAAGCCTGCGAAAGCGGAAGAAAAAAGCCTTAAGAAGCCACACCAACTCGCGATCCAATGTTCGCCCCTCGAAAGCCCTTCCACATCGTGGGGTGCCAGAGGGTTTGTATGTACGAATGAACATGAATGAAACAATTGTTTCATATCCACAAAAACGTGCAACCATCGTTCACCCGACACCGGAAAAAGACACAGTGTGAGATGAGAAATGATGAATTAGCACATCCACGAAGACCTAATTTGGGGCATCAAGCATGTCAAGTGACTTGTTTGAGACGAGTGCATTTCTTGATTTTCTGGTACTGTATAGGTTATGACTTTTGTCATAGGCGATATCTTCGTACGGCGGATCAGGACACAAAGTCGAATGTGCAATTGTGGATGGCACAACACGAACATTCAATGGGTAGGACTGTTTTGGCAATGGGGCGTATACTTCTATTTTTTGCACAAGCAAGTCTGCCAGTTGCAAGAAAGGGCGCGCAGAAATTCCCCCTACCAGGCTCCTGTGGAACCCTAATCGAACAAGCGAACTAGCATTGGTTTTCTTATACCGGGGAGAGAAAAAACATTGCAATGTGTTCTCAAGGTATCTTACCACGGAACGCAGAACACCGGCTTGATACCAGAGACACCGTTTTGTATCTGGCTGAATTGTTGCTTCGGGTGAGTCAAACGCAATATGGTTTAGGCAATTTATGCTCTGTGGAGTAGATCCATATAGGGAAGCAATGACCTGTGTATACTGCATAATACAAGGTTAACTCATACCAGGAGATACCAAAATCGCCTGGAGTTGATGGTTGATCTGGGGGGCGCCATCAGAATGTTCGAAACATATGCCACACCCTATACGCGACCTTAGCGCCCACCGGGCAGCCCTTTGCAACGATCTCCGATAATGCTGTGGTTAGAGTCCAGCTATTGGGTCCCACATCCCATTGGCTTAGAGCGGAGCGTATTAAACTGATGAGTGTCTGCTGCATCTTTTTCTTTCTCAAGCTTCAAACTCGAGTGGAGAGCGTTCAACTCTGCAAGATATCTATAAATTTTAAGCAATGCCTCAATTTGCTTTTCCGTATGCTCAAAAACGAACTGTGCTGCATCTAGAATAAGAGGCACATCGACCTGATTAATTTGTTTCGCAACACTATCGGCAAGATCATTTCCACAAGATCGTATACAAATCGTCTGGATCTTGTGCGTCCTGAAGTTTACGATGCGATTTTACCTTCTTGATCTGGTGGAATAGGGGATTCCAAAATCGTTGCAATTGATGGATCATATCAGCATGAACTCTCTGATAGATTTTGGGATCGAGTGTTTGATTAGTGATATCTTCGACAAGGCGAAATGCAAAATCGGAATCTGTGTGAACAGACATAAAATCGTGTGGATGGGATTGGGCGAAAAAACTGTGCAAGCCATACAATGGCACCTAGTTCCCCTCTATTGATGGACGGTGTTCCGGCAA